GGCTGGAATATCATCATGAAATTTCACACAATCCGAACAATAATAATCATGACAATCTGCGCAATATTTGTCCGCTTCTTTATTTCTTTCCTTACGTTTACAAGGTGAACATAACAGACGAAGTGGTTCTTCTGACTGTCTTCAATCTCACTCCCCGAAATGGCGGCCATTTGTCTTGACACAAATTTACGTTTTATAAAATAAAGTCCAGTTTCGGTTTCGTAATCTAAAACAGGAAATATAATTATAACAATCGATACCGCGCTAAAAATAAACCATTATAGACAAGTAAATTATTTATGTACTCGTCAAATAGTTAGTAAAAGGTTAGTTTAATTTGTTAGTTTATGGTTATTTTTTTGTTTACAAATTCACACTTTGTGTAGTAGTAATGCATAGTTCAATGTGTAAATATTTTTTCTTTAAACCTTCATTTAATTTAACGTGATAAATGTCGACTTTTTCTTACGTGTGGGTATGGAGTCTTTGGGTGGGTAAAACACAGGTTTATTGGACAGATCACAAGGTTTAACAAAGCTTATGTCTTATTGACCACTGATTCTACACATGCGACCAGTGTAGACTAAGATCAGCCGGCATATCATTGATGTGATCATTGTCTGCTATGTTCCGTTTGCTATTCGATCAATGCATATGTGTAATTTCTTTTAATATTATGAACGGTTATGACTTGATCGAAAAATGGACAAGCCTGCGCGGATAGGCCGATGCCATTGTTTAGTAGTTCTTTGCATGAATATTTAATGGCGTATGGATACAAAGTTAGCAATTTTCATCTTAAAAATCGCGTCCTTCAGCAATTAACACATATATCAATACGTTTGTACATATACTTTATCCTGAATTAAATTAATGAATAATGCATTCTCATCATATGCACATTCATATACTGGTTAAAGGTTGTATGTGAGAAATGAACTTGCAGCATGCCGGGTATCTTATCCAACCTTTAATCTTAAGTCTCTCTTTCTTGTTCAAGATTTCGACATAATCCTATGACGTTGATGTAAGGTTTACACCGATTCATGTGCATATCAATTTGATTATATTCAGTTACTTATTCAAAAGTTCTAAATGAATAACTTTAAATTAACATGTTCTCTAATTAGTATATTTTGATTATTTTACTGTTGTATATTATTAATATTTATATAAGTCTCTGATGGGAAACTCTCGCTTTAATGAAAAATAATTTACCGATGGTTTCATTTATGTCAGTCAGGCTATATTATTAGTTATAAAGATTGTTGACAGGTTATATGGTCCTATATATAACCCTGACGGCTTGGGTTGTTTGTGCAAATAGCTGTTTAAATACAGCCATATAACCTGTCATCAATCTTTTTAACGAATTAATATTACAGCAAGCATCATATTTTAGAGAAAGAAAGTAAGATTTCTTCATGAATCGACATCAGCCGTGTATATAAAACTATATAAACGTCACGATTATCCAGTGAAAACGACGATACAAACGTGCAGTATTATAATCTCCCATATATCCAGCAAAGACCTTGTATAACGAATTTATTATAACGACGACAATTTCAGCAATAAAGAATATACAAAAAACTAATGTAAAAGGAATATTTGACTAGTGAGTCATTGAAAAGAAAAGATGTTTTATCAATCGGCTGAATATTATGCTATGATGCGACTTGCCAAAGATTAAAAGTGCGAAGAAACATTAATAAGGTATTTGTAAGGAACATGTAAATAAGATTGCCCATGAGCCTCTACCGATCTTATTAACTATGTTTCCTTGACGAATTTCATAAAAAATATATAGAACAACAATAAATGTCCAATTCATATGACAAAATTGTTCATTAAATTTCTGAATAAAATTACGCGTCAGGCAGAACAAACAATAAAACCAAGCAACTTCCGACTGCTTTTATTGAAGAACGGGAATAACGAAGGTTACGTAATCAAAAATAGTTCAAGTATATCCATCATTTCGGTGAAACAATTGACACATTAAAAGTTGTAATGTCATTTTAATCGAGAAATGACACATACATACACGATATTACAGTGTAGGTTCAGGAACGGGTTCAATAAAATTATAATATGTGAGCCTTTGGCGAGCATAATGATTTTTATCCATCGAGTTCAATATATTTAGTAATGGAGTAATGAGGTTACACGAATAAAGCATTCTATTTTTCACATTCCAATCCAGCAAAAAGTGTTTTTTTCAATGTTGCGTTCATAGCGTGACACTTACATTAACGTGTCGTTACGCTATGCTTGTATTACGCAAATGATGTCACGTAAAACTATATGGACCGCCGTGCTATACCGTTTTTACGGAGTCGCAATTGCGGCGCGGGAATGGAATAAAGAATTAAACGCAACTTTTATTTTAATGCACAGGCATAGATTACAGTCTACAATACAGAATATTCACGGTATACACAAGACAGTTAGAAAAGTGTTTATGCTAATCAAATTCGAGAATTTTATTTGCATTTCTAAAATGAAACACAGTTTTACTTGTTTAAATGATGATACTGTATACGAAAGTTGTTGAATGGTGAATCCTACACTCACGTGTATCATTTGCTGCTTTAAATGACGTGAGTCAGTTTTATGAATGAATTGAGGATTACGTTCGTTCAACGTGATGAATGTACTTGTAAATTGAAACACTTTTATATGGCTGATGTGGTCTAATGACTGGAAGGTGATATATCAAACTTACATCGTTTTTTTCATATTTTTACGCCAGGTTCCTCAGTCGCGTTTTGGTTTGATAAATACAATTTTGATTCAATTTGTGATATTTCTATTTCTCACTGATTTTACCGTGGTAAGTACACTAAACCAATACAGTGTGTATTTTATTTTCATTGGTAAATGTTCTTGTCAAACTTATCTTTGGTAAACAGTGCGTCCCTTTGCAAATATGAAATCTCTAAAATCATTAATTTTGAAAAAAAATCGCTTCGTTAAATCAATTTAATATGAAGCATATCGGTAACTTAAAAGGTACAAAGCTATATACAGTAGAACTTCGGTAACTCGAAGTCGAAAGAACTTATGTAAAAACATCGACACATCGGGACTTCGACTCATAAATCGGTTTAAATTTAATGAAAGAAATTGGAGCTGTCGACGTTAACAGGCGCAAGAAAAGGAAAGGGCAGTAACTTAACCAGCTTATGGTAAATGAATACCGTGTGATTATCACGCGACACCGGGTCACTGAAGTACTCAAATGAAAGTAGTTCGTTTTTTTTTTTTACAAAATTAATACAAATATGGCAATTTGAATGGTAACAATTTAAGTTTTTATCACACATTTAAACGCATCAAATACTGTTAATTGACACAGTCGTGTAATTAACACCTGCCACACAAGTTAATCAGAAATTATCTTAACAGCCAGAAAAGGAGTGCAAAAATGACTTCGACTTATTTATGGTAAATTGGACTGGATTTATTCTATACGGACCACGAAAAAACTTCAACACATCGAAAAATTCGACACATGAAAATTCATATGAACTCATATTAAAAAGGATTTTATAAGGAATATATAGGGAATAATCGGGACATTCATTTCAAGAAAATTAACTAATCGAAGTTCGACTAATAGAATTTCAATAGTAGTAAAATTATATTTGTTTGATAATTTCACGGTCGGTTCTCGAAATAATTGTGAGTAACATAGAATGCCTCTGTTATTTAAAACATATGAATATTGTACGCAAACAGAATGAAACGTTCTGGAACAAAATATTATCAAGTATGGTTTTATCCGTTTAGCAATGATAACTGATGTCTTGATAACTAAATGTGTTGATAAGCTGTAACAATTCAACGTTGCATATTTCTGAAGAATTCTGTTAATAGCAGATTTGTAATAATATATAGATATGGTGAAGAAAGACAATATTAGTATTGTTTTTTTTTTCTCGTTCCTAATTTTCTTTTAACTTTTAGCTTTTCTTCCCGTAATAGAAAGTTCTAATTATAAGAACTTGTCGGTCAATCTTCAGATAACAATCACCGCTCGACAACATGTCAACAACAAACGTTGTTTCCCACGAAAAATTGTATAAAGTGTTATTTTAAACCTCAAGATTAAGTAGCCTATCATAACCGATAAATTTAATTTGAATATAATCTAATCAAATTACAACCTATTTATTATCATAGCACAGAAAATAAATAAACCTTGAAAGGAAATGAAATTACATAAGTAACACTTGATTTGTAAATCGTCTTTATTTTCTGACAGCAAGCTACTGTAACATTGTTTGCATTTTTGATACAATCTTTTGTGCTACAAAATCAATTAAAATACATACTTATTATTTTCCTAATAAAATATTCATAATATACAAATGTGACAGCTTACTAACATACCTAGTTTTCACAATACAAAACATATTACTTCTTGTTCAGTCTATCACAGGCACCTAATGTTTTCAAATCAGTTCGTAGATGGCGATATTGTCATCATGTCGACCAACTACAAGGTCATTCTTCTTATGATGATATAATATAGACGTACATCCTACTTTTGTATCATCTGAGGACACAACATTTCCCAGCTTCTCCCCATCCTTAGTGAACTGTAAAATACAATTATTGCCATATCCACTGGCAAGAATATTGCCATTTTCAGCCATACATACGCGTCTTACCTGACTGAGTTCATCACAGTTATACTTTCCCTGTAGTGTTCCATCCTTTAAAAGAGCAACGATTCCCAATGTATCATCAGCAACATAGATCCTGCTACCATCTGTACTCACAGTCATGCTGTAGATATTATCAAACAACAAATGCCCTGTCTGATCGTTTGTGAATTGTTTTAGCTTTGTACCATTCATGTCGTAAACGAAAACAGTTGTTTGTTTTATTATCAGCGATGTATAAATTGGACAACGCATACGCAATGCCAAACCTTCCATGGTCAATGTTTATTTCTTTAGTTCGTCTTGGCTCTTTGGCATAAGAAACAAAATATATAATATTTCCTCCGAAACTTACGGTAGCTACATCATGTGTATTAATAGTGCAAATCTGATATGGTGATACTGGTAATTCACAAATATCTTTGTTAGTGCAATTGCTGTCAATACGTTTTAATTTCTTATTGTTGGAATCAGCAAGAATTATAGACCCATCACCAAGTTCACATGCACTGTTAATAAAACATGTTTGTATGTCAGACTGATGTCTAACATTAAATGTTCTCTTCTTCTTTACTTTGTAGATTTCATTTGATTGACATAAATTACCAAGGTTTTCCGTTTCATTCAGGCAGATCATTAAATTTCATTTCTCTTGAAGTCGAAATCTATTACATGTTTACCTGTTGCTTTTTCTTCTCGACATTTTATGGCAGCACCAATAGCTCGCTCTTTTACCGATTTTAGAAGAGACGAAGGCTTGGGATATATTATTATCATCATCACATGACACCATTCTATCCTCAGCAGGCTCAACATCTTTCTGTGCAGTTTCTAAGACCTTTATTCCTGCATTTATTTTCTCAGCAATGACATTACATTTGCTCTCAATTTGTTCGATACTTGTTTGCTCATGCTTATCCAGTTTCATCTCAATTTCCCTTCTGAAATCTTTCAATTTTAGCAATGCTTCTTGTTTGTCGTTCATCAATCGCTCCCTGTCATGCATACGAGTTTCTAGCATTTTCTTCAAATTGGCATTTTCTACGTTTAGATCTTCGAGTGTTTTCTTTGTCTGTGCTTGTGATTGATTTATTTGAACAAACTCTGGAACATCGAAGATATCGTTGCATGACCTGTGTATGGAAAGTAAAAAAGGGTGTTTATGAAGAAATATCCCCAATGTTAAAGTTTTACATTAGTTAAACACTATGTTTTAAACAACGCCATATTTTGTCAAGTTTTTAAATTTCAAGTGCTGCCATATCTTCATACATCTTAGATTTAAATGTTACAGTAATTTAATTTTACATAAAGCACTAACCATTATCAGATAGTTATATTTAGTATGTCAGCACGCTATCTCCTTGTACATTCAAATGTGTACAAATTTGTTGTTAACAGTAACATCCATCATATGACATTTTACTCTATTTTTATCATGAAATAATACTGTAATCAAAATTTAACTTATCTTTAAATAAAGTAAAATTTCACAGAACCAGAAACAATAGCAAACAAGAAAGAAAACAACATCACCATCATAAAAAAGTCATTTGAGGTTGAAACGAGCCGTTCTTATTTGTATTGGAAGCGAAATGTTTTATCCACTGTATTATACATAAAATCTAGTAATATTTATTTCATAAATCCTTGACGTGCAATTTTGCAAAACTGAACACCTATGGTAATAACAATAAAATATTTGCATTCTTTGAGAAATACAAATGCATTAAATAGAAAATTCGTGTAATGATTTGTTTGTATATTTGTTTGCTTTTTTATTATTATTTAAATTTCTTTTCATCAAACAATACGTTTTAAAACGGAAAACAAAAGCATGTTAAGTTTTAGGTTTTGTTATGATCTTTAGGTGCGATTGACTTGACAGTGTAAATATCTTTACATAGCTATTTTACTACCCGCTTTTTATACAGACGTAAATCTTGATGAATTTAAATAAAGCGTCGCTTGCTCGTTACAATTTTATGTCTGAGCAAACAAAAATCAAGCACTGTTTATTCATTCAGTTTATTAAGAATATTCTAATACTATAAATTATATCTTATTTCAAGTTAAAGTGCAATACCGTTTCATGAAGTCGCAAAGGCGGCGCAGGTATATTTTAAAAAATAAAACGCAAAGCTTTTAATGAACAGGTCCAGTTAAAGTCTACAATACAGAAAATGTACAACACAGTATTTAAAGTTTTAGAAAGCCGATCAAATTCGAGAAATTTATTTGCATTTCTTAAATCAAACACAATTGTAAGTACTTAAATAGGGATACTGTGAACAGTAAGTTGTTGAATTCTCAAATAATGTAAATGTCGAGTTAAAGAGATATTGGCCTCGAAGAAAACATACGAATGTATCGTTTCCAATCGTTATGCAAGTTATTTCTTTGTGACACTATGGAAGTACTTATGTTTTTTGTAGACTTCTCTTTATATATTAATTTAATCTGCTAAATGTTTAGCCCTAGCATACGTTTTTGAGTCTGCTATCCTATGAAACTCTTTAAGCATGTTGTATATTTTGTTGTTTATTGATAAGTAAAGGATCTTAATAATTATGATAGCTAACGTAAGTAACTCTACAGCTAACGGTATTTAAAATTTGTTCCAAGTTATTTCCCTTGCTGCAGAATATTGTTGTACATTAAAACGAAAACTACATATTAATTGTTTTCCAATAACAGAAACATACATTTCGAACAGGTGAAGATCAAAAAAGAATATACCAGACACGTTGTTTTGTTCTTAAGGTATTAGGACCCTAATGGGCACTATCAGGAACTAAAAAATTGACATCATAAGTCAGTTGTATACCTTAAAGTACACCTGTATGCAAAATTTAAACAAAGTTTACCGTACGGAAATCAAGTAATGGCCACTTTTCTGAACTCAAGCTAGGATGTTATGAGGGCCCTTTTTTAGAAAGTAGGAACCTTTAAATAATCTGCAATAACATTCTAATGAAAAATGTTTTCCCATTAATTTTTGGTAAGAAACAAATAGTACCATTCAGCTAACAATCCAAATAAGCAAAATTATGGTTTCTACTGAAAATTTATGAAATCTGTATAAAAATGTTACCCTACCCCACCCATTTTTACCACGTGTCTGACCATTTTTCTACTTAGGGAGCCTAATTAAAAAAATTCTTAAAATTTACCCAAATGAGTGCCTGTTTTCAAAGTTTCCCTAAATTTTTAAAAAAGTATATTGGTTGATCTTATAAAATATGAAATACTTTTACCGTCTAGTTTTGATTATATTACACTTTGAAAATATCAGGCACCATATTTATTACTAGATTTAGCATAATTTAGCCAATAAATACCTATATAAATTAAAAAATCAAAATTAAACACATTTTTCTTTCCAAATGGGACACGAGAGATACGTAAATAATGTTAAAAGAAAAATAGAAAGAAAAAAAAGTTGACCCTTCTGGGGATTGAACCCATGGCCCTCATTTTCAATGAAGTTAACAGTAGTTCTAGCCTATTTGAATACTCTTCAAAGCGGAGGTAATGCATTAGGGTGCTAATACCTTAAATATTTATTATCATTTACATGTACATGTATATTGAATACATTATGTTTGATTCCTTTTACATTTCAGTTTGTGCAGGTAATAAATTGATCATAGATAGAACAATTCAGATGTTTTATGGTAACGTAATGCAACATTTCTTACAATGATGTGTTTGTGACAGTAACCTTGAAGATTTCAACACTTACCGCTAAATTTCTATAGAACCATTTGACTCACATCTTTAACGCTTCATAGGATGATCACCCTTTTTAAGTAGATATCCTTTATTGTTTTGGGTGCTTGCTTGATATTCATTATATGTCTGTATACCAAATTGTTCGTAGAATTTAAATAATTGTTGAATTTTAGTTATAATGTCGCCTTTATATAGCGCCATTTTCAATATTTGACATTGTTTTCCGTTCTTCTGGACATATAAATACTGGGCGGTGGAAAGATAGTTTTACCATCTTTTAATAATTATAAACTTGACTTTAACATTGAAAAGTTATCTTTAAGGTTTGCGGAAAAAATGTATAAAAGATTAATTCATTCTGAGTTTCTATTTTTAAGATTATCTAAAGTAAATATCATCACAGATGTATTAAAGTTTAATGAATTAAACAGGTAAAGATTACTAGTAACCGTAATGAAAAAGTTAGATATTTATTTTTGTTCACTTCATATCGTAAATTTCTATATAATCCCGTCTATATCCAACTATCAGTCTCGTGTGATTGCGATCATAGCAAACCGCCTGACAACCTCCTGCTTTTCCATCTGATGTAAGTATTTCTCCTATCACCTCACCATTTGAAGAAAATTGTACAATATTGTTAGATGATTCACCGCTCACAAGTTTATCTCCATTGTCTATTTCACAAATCTCCCTCGCATTTTCGAGGTTAGAAGGATTATATTTTCCATGTAATTTACCTTCCTTACAATACCATATGTACTGTCAGCAACATAAATTATCTCACCATCTTGACTGACTGTAAGACTGTAAATATTGCTAAACAAGTTGTCACCTAACTGCTCTTTTGAAAATTGTATCAGCATTGTCCCTGTCTTGATGTAGACATAAACAGTCTTCGTCGAATCAGTTTTATAAATTTTGTCATTTCTGTACCCTAAGCCAAAACAGGGATGAGCGGTTTTGATTTCCCGTGCTACTTTTAGTGGTATTTATGTAGTTACAATGTCAATGTTCATTCCATAAGAGGATACAGCTATCTCATTGTCAACTCCACAAATTTGCCACGGTGATCTCGGGAGTTGGCAGACATCTTATATTTTAAATGAGGTCATGTCAAGACGTTTTAAGCTTTTATTACCACAATCTGCGATTACAATAGACCCGTCATTTAGTAAACATGCACTGTATATAGAACAATCGCTCTTGTCTGAATCATGTTTGATATCTATCTCCCTCTTTTCTCGAAGCTGATAGTTAGCAGGTTGTTCAATGATATCCCCTAATATATCCATCTCATCTATCATTGACATCAGATTCTGTTGAAATTCAAAACAACATCAATTCTTTTAAATTCTACTGTCTTCCCTTTTAAACCATTGCCTGTCCTTTCTGTTACTGAGTTAGCTACTTTCATCCCGAGAAATATTTGCGACATGTTTGACGAGGCGGATTTGATATATTTTGCTGAAGACTGAACATTTGTCTGGAATGTTGTCAATACGGTAATTTGCTCTTCAACCTTCTTGATTAATGCTTTGTACTTTTCTTCTATGTTATAAATGCTTTTCTTTTCAAGGTTGTCAAGTTTCTGGTTGACGTCAATTCTAAAGTGCTTTATTTTCTCAACTTCTTCTTCTTTCCGTTTGAACAGACGTTTTATTTCCCGTTGTCGAATTTAAGCTGAAAACAATGTCACCGGTAACAGCTAGCATTTTCTGTTGAACATCGTCACATTGACTTGTAGGGTCATGTTCTAAGACGTACTCAGGCACATAGAAAACATCGTTACATGACCTGAAAATGGCCACAATTTTTAAACATGCATTTATTTAAATTATTCACTGGCAGGTTTTTCTATTAATTCGCGATATTTAACACTTTTACCCCAATTAACAATGTTAAATAGTTTTATAGTGACGGTGCGGCTGAGTGGTTTACTTTTTGAAGGATTGCTGATTACAAGGGTTTAAAAACCCGTCAACAACATTAAACAAGAGCACCGCTAGGCGGAGCATTATATGCCCGAAAGTGTTCCTTTTTTGTTAGTAAGGATGAAACATTTGTAAGACATGGGAATTAAATACAGTATTACCTCCTTCAAAAAGCAATCCTCCTTTATAGCTGAAGAACCTTCAAATATATACAGTTGATGTTTTCAAAGCACCACCGTCAAGTTGTAGTTATGCTCCAGAAACCACAACTTTCAGTGTAAAGATCATTGTGACCCTGACCTTTGACCTTATGACCCCTAAATCAATAGGGGTCATGTATTGGACATGGCTGTTCATCCTATAAAATTTTACAACTGTAGGTTGATTAATACTTAAGTTATTGAGCGGAAACAGTTTTCAGTTTTAAGGTAATAGTGACCTTGACCTTTGACCTTGTGACCCCAAAATTGATAGGGGTCTTCTACAGAGTATGGACAATCATCCTATGAAGTTTGAATACTGTGGGCCAAATGGAACTAAATTTATGCTCCGGAAACCAAATTTCTAACGGACGGACGGACAGACGGACGGACGCCAAGGGGTATAGCATAATTTGCCCGAAATTCTTTCGGGCATATAAAAAGAAGGAAGAAATTTCTTGAATTTTCTGTGTACGGTAAAAATAGATTTGCATCAATAAATCACTTCGTTATTTAAATGAGCAACACGTGATAATCAAGAAGTTTAAGCCCAAAAAGTGTTTGTTTGGATATTCTTGTATATGACATCATGATTACTAAGGAAGAAGAATTTAATGTAATTGCTTAGTGCTTATTGTAAAAATGTATATATGAATAAATGTTCAAAACTTAAATTACTTACATAACTTCACAATGAACTTAAAAATGCTTTCTGTATGGACATTTGATACAGTAGCTATCTCAATGTGTAAATTATACATGACTGTTTCTAGCTTCAACATATATGCTTCTATTCCTCTCATGTTCATCTAATCACAGAACTGTACAAGCTTAAATCCGTATATGGCTGAACCGTTTTAGATATGTACGATTCAAAAGTAAGTTTTAAAGTGTTAAACGATTTTTGCTAAGGCGTATTTTATATAAAGTAATGAAAACTATGTCATACGTAACCATTTTGTACAATTAAAATATTTTTTTAAAAAGGAGAAAGATGTTTTTATTTTTCCATTTGTAACATGAAAAACATTTTTCATTTTCAAAACAAATAAAGAAAGATAAAGAAAATTTATTGCGCGTGTCACACCACAGGAGACTTCAAAAACAGAACAGCAATGAAATCCAAACCGTGCGTTTGATAAAGATCACGAAATATGTTTGATAAATTGATAAACATAAGGACAAATGAAGAAAGATTAAATACATTATTTCATTAAGTTGTATCTTCTTAAAATTGAAAGTATTATAACATAACCTTGCAAAATCACGTACAGACATAATGCTTATTTGTATATCAAGCTTCGTAAAATTTCATATGTGACGGACTCAAGTTAAACAAGGTTTATTTTTAGGTTTTTGAAAATCATGTAACCACATTTTTGATCGTATCTCGGGGTATCTCACCAGAAATGCAACTGTGTGCGGGTAAGTTAAATTTGGAATAGGGAACAGGCAAATAAAGTAAATTAAAAAGAAGCACTATTTAATTGGCATTTACCTCATTATGATATATTTATCATTAAATTTTGGCTAACGTAGAACATGACATAAATTAAATTTGATCTTACCTGTGATCTACTGCCATACATGTAGAACATCCAACGTTATCGTGACCTTGGCAATACATGTCAACAAGTTTAAATCCGTGTCTCTCGCACCTTTGTGTTGGGGTGACAGGCAATGTTCCGCTTGTCCCATCTTTGACTTGACATTTATCTAGAATCTTATGTCCCGACAAGGCTGGAAGATCATCGTGAATGTTAAGACAATCTGAGCAGTAATAATCATGGCAGTCAGCGCAGTATTTGTCCGCTTCTTTATTTCTTTCTTTATGTTTACAGGGAGAACATAACAAGAGAATTGTTTCATCTGACTGTTTATGCATTTCACTCCCCGAAATGTCGGCCATTTAGCTTGAAACAAATTTACGTTTTATAAAAAAAAGTCCAGTTTCGGTCTCGTTATCACGATCGATACTGCGCTAAAAATAAACTACAAATGTATATCAAAAAAGTAGAATGAAAATGTATGCAAGTTAGTTTTATCAAGTACTTTATGGTTTTAATTTTGTTTATAAAGTCTCAACCTGTTTGATGTAGAAATGCCTGATTAAATGAGTAAATATTTTTCTTTTAACCTTTATTTAAATCTAACGACCTGGGATTCATGTCGATTTTAAGTCCGCGCTTTTTCTGAAAATTAAAACGTGTGTGTAATAAGGCTTCTTGCGGGTAAACACTGTTTTATCTAATTGATCACAGGGTTTTAGAAAGCTTATCTATAATCGACTACTTATTCTACCCATGCGACCAGTACAGACAAAGATCACCCGGCATTTCCGTGATCATGGTCTAAAATGCTCCCGTTTGCTATTCGGTCATTGCATATGTGCAATTTCCTTTAATATTATGCAAGATAACGACCTGATAGAAAAATGGACAAGCATACATTGATAGGCTGATGTCATTGTGTAGTAGTTTTTGCATGAATATTAAATGGAGTAGGGATACAAAGTAAGTCTTTAGACATTTTCGTCTTAAACGCTACGTGCAATGTATCATAGGTTCATAGGTCAATATGTTTGTACATGTACTTTATCCTGAATTAAATTGATGAATACTGCATTCGACCGGTGCTCGAAAAACACATACGAACCACATGTGTACAATTCATCGCGTGTTTAAATGACGTTATTCCCAATGCTAGCTTTATGAATAAATTAAGAATAACGTCAATCCAAACGTGAATGTAGTTGTACGTTTATACACTTAAATATGACTAATGAGGTATCATAACTTAAAGGTGATATATCTAACTATTTTTTATCATATTTTTATGTCCGGTTTCTCTGTTCAGTAACTCTATTCGTCGTGTTTGGGTTTATAAATACAATGAAGTATGTGTAAATAGATTAAATTAATCCAAGTTTTCTTTTAACAATAAATATGGAAATTTTCCTCAAAAGCCATACCAGATATATTGTTTTGTTATGTGTCTATGTATGTCTTTTGTCCTTTTGTTACTGGTGATTGAACTTGTTTTGCAAGGGGAGTGATGGATTATTGGTTTTGGTATGCAAGTAAATGTTGCTGATTTGGTTCTGGGATAGCTAACATTTTCTTGGTAACTGACCACTCCTTGTCTCGCTTTCGAAGTGAAAACATTAATTCTTTAGCATCTCAGTATTTTCCTTAAAGAAATACTTGATAGTTTCATCAATTATTTTTTACATTAGATTCTTCTATTACAAAGGCTGGTTTATTCTTTATAGTATAAATATAGAAAACTTATTGAGAGTTTTCCTTCAAAACACAACCACTACAAATTGACGGGAAATGTTAATAATAGAATAAGGATACTATTGCTACATTTATTAAATAGAAACACAAAAAAACCCAAAAAACTGCAACAACAAAACAAAAACAACAACAAAAACGAAAACAACTAAAAGGAACAACATCAAATAACGCAGATTCTGTCGTTAAAAGGTAGAAAGTTATAATTTATACATTTAGTATAAGTAGCCTATCTAAACCGACAAATCAAATTAATATATAATTCAATTCTTTTGAAACCAATTTATTATCATAACACAACATAAAAATAAATGCTGAAAAGAAATTAAAGAAATTATATATAAGTCACACTTGACTATTTCTTAATTCCACGAAGTATTTCACTGTGTTTGTATATGCTTCTTGTGCAAATTTGATATGGTGTGCAATTTGAAATAAATATTGTTTAAACTGAAAGTTAAATTGTCTTTATTTCTTACAACTAGTGTTTGCATTTATTGACACAAAACTTTGTGCTACAAAAGCAATGAAAGTACAGACCAAGTATTTTTCTAACATAATTTTATTCACACAGTATGCAAATGTAACAGTCTACATAGCATATATAAGTTAAACAGTACAAAACATGTCACTATTTTACAGTCTATTTTACACGTACCTAAATGTTTTCAAATGAGTTCGTAGATGTCGATTTTGTCATTATGTCGACCACCTACAACCTCATTCTTTTTATGATGATTTATTACATGCTTTTCAGTGGTTTATAGAAATATATCAGTGATATAAAACTCGTAATTTCACTGTTTGAAACAGTGAAATTACCACTTTGATAATTTCACTGTTTTGAATTTAAGCCCGTTACGTTGTTTCAGTGAAATACCAGCGTGCACAGTACTGGGTACCAACTTAATAACGTGACGTCGTAAATGACGTCACGTTGTATTACTATTTGGCGCGCTTTTCAATCAGTATTAGGTTTAATGTCTTTTTAAAACGTTTTTTTGCATGTAATAAAAAGAAAATTTGTTTAGTTTAGTGTAAGATAGAAATATATTTCACCTTGTGAACACCAAAAGTTCGTATTTCACTCGTGGCTGCCCCACTTGTGAAATATACCTTTTGGTGCTCACTCTGTAAAATATATTCCGATCTTACACTGAACTAAACAAATATCCTCTATATAATATAGACGTAAATTTTACTTTTGTATCATCTGACGACAAAACATTTCCCAGCTTCTCCCCATCCTTTGTGAACTGTAAAATACAATTATTTTCATATCCACTGGCAAGAATATTACCATTTTCAGCCATACAGACTATTTCTACATGACCAAGTTCATCACAGTTATACTTTCCCTGTAAAGCACTTTCCTCTTTAAGAGCAACTATTCCAAATGTGTCATCAGCAACATAGATTCTGCTACCATCAGTACTCACAGTCATGCTGTGGATATCCTTAAACAATGGATGACCTGTCTGATCGTTTGTGAATTGTTTAAGCTTTGTACCATTCATGTCGTAAACGAAAACAGTTGTATAAAGATCAGCAACGTATAAATTGGACAACGCATATGCAATACCATAACTTTCATGGTCAATGTTTATTTCTTTAGTTCGTCTTGGTTCTTTAGCAAAAGAAACAAAATATATAGTCTTTCCATTGTTATGTATGGCAGCTACATCATGTGTATTTATAGTACAAATCTGATATGGTGATTCTGGTAATTCACAAACATCTTTGTTAGTGAATTTGCTGTCAATACGTTTCAATTTCTTATTGTCGTAATCAGCAAGAATTATAGACCCATCACCAAGTTCACATGCACTGAATATATAACATGTCTGTGGGTCAGATCGATGTCTAACATTAAATGTTCTCTTCTTCTTTACTTTGTAGATTTCATTGGATTGACATATATTACCAAGATTTTCCGTTTCATTCAGGCAGATTATTATATTTTCATTTCTCTTGAACTCGAAATCTCAAACATGCTTTACAGTTGCTTTTTCTTCTCGACATTTTATGGCACCACCAATAGCTCGTTTACCGATTTTAGAAGAGACGAACGCTTGGGATATATTATTATCATCATCACATGACACCATTCTATCCTCAGCATGCTCAACATCTTTCTGTACAGTTTCTAAGACCTTTATTTCTGCATTTATTTTCTCACCAATGACATTATATATTTTAACAACGCCATGTTTGCCACGTTTTAAATGTTGGCGTTTTTTTTTTCAAATGCTGCCAATTGGTCATACATCTTAGATTTAAGTTAGTGTAATTGTGCACAAAACACTAACCAATATCAGATATATTTAGTATATCAGCACGCTATATGCTTCATTAAATGTTACTGTAATTACAAATTAACTAAACTTTAAACAATGTAAAATTTCACAGAACCAGAAACAATGATTATTACAAACAAGAAAAACAACAACATCAATATCATAAAAATGTCAATTGACCTTAAAAAGTGTCATTCTTATTTGCACTTCCTAATTTGTATTGGAAGCGAAAAGTAAGAACTTGATTAATTTCATTATTTATACCGTCGCCGTATTAAAAAACAAAATCTAGTACATATTTATCCTATTACGTTTCACGTTTTCGTTATGATCTTTATGTGCAATTGACTTGACAGTGTAATAACATTACATGGCTAGTTTACTACATCCTTTTATGTACATTTATAAATCTTGATGGAGTTAAATAAAGCGTCGCTTACTCTGTACAGTTTTACGCCTGAGCAAACAAAAATAAAGGACTGTTTATTCATTTAGTTTAATTAGGATATTGTAATACTATAAATTATATCTAATTTCAAGTTAAAGAATATAAAATATTTATACCTGTGATCTACTGCCATACACGTTGAACAACCAACGTCATCATGATTTCGACAATACATGTCAACAGGTTTAAACCTATGTCTGTCGCATTTTTCCGTTGGTGCTACAGGTAAACCTACCATTGTTTCTTGTTTAACTTTACTTTTATCAAGGATATTATGTCCGGAAAGGGCTGGGATATCCTCATGGAATTTCACACACTCTGAGCAGTAATAATCATGACAGTCGGAACAGTATTTGTCCGCTTCTTTATTCATCCCCTTGCGTTTACAAGGTGAACATAACAACTGAAATGTTTCATCCGACAGATTTTCCATCTCACTCCCCGAAATGGCGGCCATTTTCCTTGACACAGATTTACATTAAAAGTAATTTGTCCCTTTTCGGTTTCATAATCTATTACAAGAAAGATAATTGAAATATCTTTACACGACCGATTTTATTGTGCTAAAAATAAACCAATCCAGATAAGCAAGTGTGTAGAACAGAGAGGTTATCTAACACGTTTAAATTTGCTTAAATAGAATAGCTATTTGTATATACATACAGATATCGATGCGTTTTATTGCAATTAATATTTTGTTTAAAAAGAAACTTATGCAAAATAAGATTCTATGATTGCATGCGGTAAGAATTTTCATAAAATCTCCTTAATTCTATCATCATTTAATCCGTGTCGATTAATTGAGTTGAAGTAAGAGGATATGTAAAAAACAAAATAGAACGTGTATATGTAACATCAGAGATACATA